GCTGGTGATTTGGGTGAGGTGGGCGGTGCTTATGGTGGGAATAGTGGTAGTGATTTTGGTTGCTATGGACTATGGTGGGAGTAATGAGGAGTGGGTATGTAAGTATTGAGAGGAGAGAGAAATTACTTTAAAGAGGGTGGACAAGTGAGTTAATTAAAGAAACTTTAATTTGTTTTTTTTACGGGAAGATTACAAATTTCATTTATAAAATTGCCAAACAGTACTTACAATCAATTTTTGAGAAATTTAAAATTCCAACAAAAACATATAAAACCCTAAAATTAACATCGCAGAATCGATTGATAATAGCCTTAACAAAAAACTTCATCCGAAGCAATACAATCTGTGAGTTCGCTCTAATTCGGCATAAGATCTGCAGATGCATAATTTTTTGGATGAATATCCTTCCGTGGTCTTCTAAACTCCGGTAGAAATTGCGAAACCTTCGATCTTCATTCTTCAATAAACAAGTAATTAAAATCCCTACCATGAACACCATCTTAAGGATGATCTTTTTATTGAAAGCAATTAAAGAGATTTTGGGGCTTTCCACCGGTAAAAACCAGCGGAAGCCCCTACAAAATTCACAAATAAAAATCAAGAATGAAGGAGATGAAGCAAAGTAGGGAAGGATTGAAGAAAAAACAAAGAAAAAAAACCCTAGCAAAAGAGGCTAGGAAAAACCCTCCCAAGGGAAAACCCTAGAGGGAACTAGAAACTTTAATTTGTTAAGTAAGGGCAAGTTTGTAACTTTGGCTATATATATATATATATATATATATATATATATATATATATATATGTATGTATATATATATATGTATGTATATATGTATATATATATAGAGTATGTTCTAAGTATTGTGATATTTTCATTTTAGGAAAGTGTTGCAAGTAGAAAAAAAAAGAAGGGAGGAAGTATATACTAATAATACATGAGTACCAAAGATAATTGAAATTTTTGCTATTCACCAAAGATAAAATTAAAAAACTGATGAGTACCATTGAGAATTTCTCAAAAAACAACAAAGATCAAAAATAGAATTCTCAATAATCGAAAATATTAGCAAAAAAAAAATGATCAAAAATAAAAGCAAGGACTATAAGAGAGCATGGAAATTGTCATACACATCTTTAGATGTGAGGTTCAAGGCTAAAAGCCAGACAAATGAAGAAATACTTGCTTAAATTCATATATTTTACAAAACCATCAAGAGAAGGTAGGAGAAGAGACTCAAGGCCTGTTCACATTTACTGAACTGAGCTGAACTGAACTAAACTGAACTGATTGGAGCTGAACTGAACTAAACTGAACTGATTGGAGCTGAACTGATTGGAGCTGAACTGAACTGAATTGAGCTGAAATGAATATTTTATGAGAGAGGAAAATTAAGAGCTGAACTGAACTGAACTAATTGGAGCTGAACTGAACTGAATTGAAATTAAGTAAATGTGAACAGGCCCTGAGAGAGGCTTATGATGAGTGATGGAAAGACTACGAAGGAGTGACGGTGACAATGTCCATTTTTAGAGAAGGATGCTTTTCTTCTCTTGAAAGCCCCATTGGTTATAGTGTTATATAATTACTACTTTCAATTTGTGAAAACAAAAATTGATAAAATTGATTTGTTGTCTCTTATCTATATTTAACAAACTCAGTTTTTTTAAATGAAATAACAAACTTATAATTACAAATAAAGAGATAAAACATGGAATTATTTATATAAAAAGAAGGCCAAAAAGAATAAAAATTGTTCATTAGGTGAACAATTCTAAACTTGATTGTACCTTATATGGTATCACAAGTTTCATATGTGGCTGGCCACACCATGCGACCAGCCACAATATGAAGCCCAATCCTGCAGCGCGCTCCGTTTTAGGCCCACTCCAGCTTTCTAATTGTAACGACGTTTGGAAAATAACGGAGTTCCCGTTTTAACTTTTAAATTTTTTTTTTCCTTTTTTTGTGTAAACCGTCATTTTGCTCTTGTCACTTCACTCCCTGAACATTGTCTTTTCATTTCCTTCTGTCTTAATTTCTCTTTCTTCTTTGATTTCTCTTTCCTCCATTAATCTACTTCATTTTAATTTTCTTTCTCCATTAATCTTCTTATAATTCAATGGCGAAACGTAAAATTGTTTATGGTAAAAGTAGCAGCAAAGGTTCTTCTTCGAATAAAAATGGCGATGATTCTGGTATTTTTTTTTTTTTTTTTTTGCGATTTTAGCGTATTTTTTTCGATTTCTTTTTTCATTTTACAATTTTTTGTCGATTATTTTCGTAATTTTGTTAAATTATGTGCTTGTTCCTAATTTCAGGGTCTTTTATGATCAAAGATGGCGACGATTCAGGTTTGTGGTTGCGGTTTTTGTAATTTGTTTGTTGTTGTTGAATTTTGTTGTTCAAACCCTAGGTTTTCATTATTTAAATTTTCTCATGTGTTTTCGATTTTATTTTGTTTGACATTTTCAATTTTGAAAACCTATGTTGAAATTATGCGTTTGTTTATTGTTTTTCCCCTGTTTGTTGATCATTTACCGTGTTTTCTTGTGTTGCATGTTTTATGATTTGATTTGTTTATTATGTTGTGATTTATTTTACTTTTTTTTTATGCTATGTTTTTGTTCTTTTTTTCAGCAAAATTAGATGTTAAATGTTGTTGTCTTATTTGATTTTGTGCCTTGTGTTTTATAATTTTTATAATTCTTTGTAATGTATAAGTTTTGATGTTGTTCTTATACACATAATTATTTTTTATCTAGTTCTTCAAGATCATAGTTATTGTTTTTTTATGTTGCTGTACTAGAAAAATGAAAATAAATATAGTTATAGTGTTCTATAGTGTTTTGCATAGTCCTTAGCAGAGTGAGTTTTAAAAATATTATTGTAGGTGTTACTTTAGGGTTAGTTTAGGGGTTATTAGAGGGGTTACTTTTACTTATAGGGGTTACCATAGGGGTTGACTTTATATGCAGGGGTTACCTGAGGGGTTACCAGAGGGGTCACTCTTATATCCATGGGTAACTTTGGTTATTATGTTGTGATTTATTTGACTTCATTCTTTTATACATTTTTATGCTATGATATTTTTCTGTTTGTTTGTCAAAAATTTGATGTTCAATGTTTTTGTCTTCTTTGGTATTGTGTTTTTTGTTTCTAATTGTTATAATTCTTTTTATATATATATATGTTTTTATCTACTTTTGATGTTTTTCTTATACACATAATTAGTTTTGATCTAGTTCTTCAAGATCATAGTTGTTATTTTTATGTTGTTTATGTATTAGAAAAATGAAAATAGGTACAATTATGGTGTTACAATAGTGTTTTGCACACCTCTTAGCAGAGAGATTTTTAAATATATTTCTATAGGGGTTACTTTTACATATACGGGTTATCAGAAAGTTTGTATATGTGTTTCCAAAGGTTTTCTGTAGGGGTTACTTTAGGGTTTGTTTAGGGGTTTCTAGAGGGGTTACTTTTACATATAAGGGTTATCAAAGGGGTTATTATACCAGGGTTACCAGAGGGGTTACCCTTATATCTAGGGGTTAGCAGAGGGGTTACCCTTATATCCAGGGGTTACCAGAAGGGTTACCTTGTGGTAACTTTTAAGTAACCCTTCTGTTAAACCTTGTAGTAACTAGTGTGTGCTCTCTGGTAACCCTTGTGTTCATTACTCTCTTGGTAACCTTTTATCTAGATATATATGTTATAATATAATACTCTTGTGTTACTTGTTGGTTTTATTATGTGTTATATATGTTTTAAGTTTTACTATTAGTGTTTAACATAATTTCATGTTTTAAACAGATGTTCAAGGAGTAGAAAAACAAGAAGTTGATTCTACTCCTCTTGATTCTGCTGCTGTTGGTTTAGTCTTACCTGAGTCTACTTCTACAGTTAATGAATGTAGAAGTTTAATTGTTTATTTTTCTAAGGAGGTCAATCAGGGTGATGATTCTAAGGAATTTAAGGAGTCTAATCAGGATGATGATGACTTTAAGCTACTTTCTCTGGTCTCTGTTTTGAAGCAGCACGGTTTACTTTCTAAAGATGTGCAATTGATAGAAAAGAAGAGTGATGATGTAAAACCAAATGTTAGAAAGGAAAAAACATCTAAAGCTTTAGTATCTCAAGGTAGTGAAGAAGTTGATGTGATTCCTGATGTTAAGCCTAGTGTAAGAAAAGCAAGAGGAGGCAAACTTAAAGAAGAAGTTGTTGAAGTTGTCAATGTTGAGGAGGAGTAAGTTATATATATGCATATTTGAAATAATTTTTCCAGTTATTGGAATTTTTTTTATTCATTTTATGTAGGTTACATGGGTATAATATATTTTGTTTGAGTTCCTTTATTTTGGTTATTTAGTTGTATATTTGAGGTTGGGGTTACTTAGTCAATTATACAGTGGTTTGAAGGGTTACTTATTGAATTAGATACTTGATTTTGGTCATAGGGGTCAGTTATTGTTTCAGTTATTTGTTTTGGTTATTTAATTGTCTATTTATATTGGGGTTACTTAGGCACCTATGCATTCATTCATTTTAATTAGTTATTTAAACATTTATTATAGGGGTTATTTAACTATTTTCCCTAGTGTTAATGGCAGGTTACATAAGGGGTTACTTAGGGGTTATATAAGAGGTTACTACAGGGGTTACTGAGGTGTTTATTAAAGGGGTTACTAAGGGGTTACTGAGGGGTTATATAAGGGATTACTACAGGGGTTACTGAGGGGACTATATAAGGGGTTATTAGTGGGGATTATATTTTACTTCATAAATCAATTATTTTGTGATTACTGGAGGGGTTACTAAAGGCAGATGGGTTACTAGAACTAAGTTTTATTTAAGGGGTTATAAGGGGTTACTAGAGGTGATTAATATGGGGTTACTATAGGGGATAAGGTGTGACTAGAGGTGATAAGGGGTTACTAGGGAGTTGGTTAGGGGTTACTAGGGGGTTGCTTAGGGGTTACTGAGGGGGTTATTTAAGGGTTTTACTGAGGGGGTTATATAAGGGGTTACTAGAAGGGTTAAGGGCAGGTGGGTTTCATAATCAATTAATTTTGGTTGACTAGATGTGTTATTAATGGCAGATGGTTTACTATATAGTTTACTAGAGGGGGTTACTTAAGGGTTATATAAGGGGTTACTAGAGGTGTTACTTGAGGCATTATTTAAGGGGTTACATATTAGGGGTTACTTTTCATGTTGCTAGGGATTGTGGTTATTTTATTATTTATAATAGTATATGTTTAGAAGGTTGTGTTACTTATTTAGTTTTTTGTCTTTTATTTGGTGATTTATTGTGTTGTATCTTCTTTTGTGTAGGGGTGATGAGATGATTGTCTGATGTAGACCTACTGGTGTGTTTGAATTAATGAAAGTGTTGACTAAAGATCGGTTGAAAGCTGTTTATGCTGTTGGTTTTCAAAGTTAGCGTCACATAAAGTTGAATGAATTTCCAAGGGGCATGCTTCGATGGTTGAGCAAATGTTTTGATCCTTCTAGTAGATTATTTATACTCCAAGTGGGGATCAATTTCAATTAACTGCAGCTGATGTATACGATTTGTTTGGAATCCTAATGGGCAAATTAGTTGTTCCAGTGACTGGTGCTCATTCAGAGTTAAAGAAGTCTTGGAATATGAAGTATGGTGGGACAAAGCAGCAGGTTACTGTGAAGCAGTTGTCTGAAATGTTAACATCTGATCCACGAATGAAATCAGGAAATTATGATTTTAAAAAATGTTTTGTGATGTATTCTATGATTACATTGCTAACACCAACCTCTAATAGATTGGCTGATATGAAGCTTGTTGAAGCTTTAGAAAATGTGGACATGATTAGCGAATATAATTGGTGTCAGTATGTTCTTGATGATTTGGCTGACAAAATGAAGAAATATAATCCAAAGCAGAAGTATGTTGTTGGGTGTATCTTGTTGTTGCAAATGTGTTATTTCCATGGGCTTCAAAAGACAGGGGGTACTGATCCTTGTCCAAGTTCTTTGCCGTTGTTTAAACACTGGAGTATTGAAGACTTCAGAAATAAATTAGTTGCTGAAAATGGGAACTATAGTGATGGTGTTTTGGATAATGCTACCTATCCAATTACTGAAGTTGGTTCTATTCCAGACTTGGAGCCTTATATTGATGGAAGGGAGGATGGAAAGGAGGATGAAGAGGTAGAAGAGGATGATGGAAAGGAGGAACACACTAGTGGAAAATATGTCATTTGTAACGGGTTATTCGTAACGGGCAAAGCTATGCCCGTTACATTTAATATATTTGTAACGGATAAAATACGCCCGTTACAAATAATATAGTATTCGTAACGGACAAAATATTGCCCGTTACAAATAATATAGTATTCGTAACGGACACCATGTCCCCGTTACGAATAGGTGGCCCAGCTAATGAGAGCCAAAGAGGAGCCCATTACTTTTTACTCTGTATTAGGGTTTCACACTTCATTGTCCTTAGCCGTCAAACCTCCTATTTTTTCTCTCTCCTCCTCTATCCTCTCTGCTCTTAATTTTCTCACTCAATCTCTCTCTCTTCTCCTGATTCACCTCAATCCATTCACTCAATCTCCTCCATTTCACCACACTAATTCCCAAAGTTCCCCTCTTTCTCTCTCCTCTAAATTGCATCAATGGCGGAGGACCCAAAAATTGTATATGAGGGTGATGATTCAGGGTCAAGAACATCGCAATGGGTGTTTATATCTCTTCAATTTTTTCAAGCAAATTAGATTGGAGAAACCCGATTATTCTTCAAGAGAAAGCGAACAAAACCCTAGTTTTTTCCCCTAATTTTACCGCCTAAATATCCCATTTTTCTGCTCATTCTAACCCTAAGATTTTAAAGCTGAATCGCCGCCCTCCTGTGTACGATTCTGATGATGCAGTTCCTCAACGATGTTCTCCTGGTAATTTCTCTCTTAATCATTTCTATTATAAATTTTGGGTTTTCACTTTGTAATTGTTCGATTATTTTGATTGGGGTCTTCTTAGGGTTTCAAATGTCATTTTGATTTCATTTAATTTTTCTAGGGTTTTTTAATTTGGTGATGTTTTGATGGAGTTGTGTGTGTGTGTGTTGGGGAGGGGGATGATGTAGCTTTGATTCTATTTTTACCACTGCTGCTTCAATTTAGGGTTTCCAATTTACAAATTACTTGCTTGAATTTCGATTGATTTGAATAATTCTGCTGTATTCTGTAATTGGAATTCTTATTGAAGTGCTGGTTTGATCGTCTATTGTTATTAGGGATTCAGTGGATAATATATGGTTTTGAATGGATTTCTGGTTTTGTGTTGATGTTACATAGGTTGTTAGATATGAAACCAGGGCAAAACAAAGAGAGGAAGACTGTTTTGTACCTGGTGTTTGAGTACATGGACACTGATCTTAAGAACTACATCCGTAGTTTCCGTAATACCGGGGATACTGTCCCTCCTCTGATCATCAAGGTATACTAATATCTCATGGAATAATTCTGAGAAATATATCGCTTAATATAATTGACTAGTGTTTTGAAGTTGTTCAATTTTATAGTTTTGATTGAGGATTGTATGGGTTGCTGCAGAGTTTGATGTACCAACTGTGTAAAGATGTTGCTTTTTGCCATGGTCATGGTGTCATTCACAGGTATACAATCGTCGTCTTTTTTTTGTGTTCCACAATTCATACTGTCATTATGTTGATCTCCTGTGAACAATTCCTGATGATTTGGATTTTTTATTTGGTTCCTTTTTTTGTTTTTTTTTTTTTGTGTTTACGGTTTCATTTTAATGTTGAGCTGTTGTTGAGTTGGTTGATATTAAGTAATTTATTTCTTAATTGGATGATTTTTTTTTATGGATTTACCTTGAATTTTAGTGTAAATTGATTTGGATTTATATATATGTATATATTATTTAAGCTGATGTTGATTACTTTGATTTTGTATGGTACTAGAACTGCTAATGAGGATTATACACTGTTGTTTAATAATATTTGGGTGCAAACATATGAATTTTGAGAAGCCTTTGTTTCAGGAGTAGGGTTTTATTTTCCGAAACTCTATTTCAAGGGGTGAATAAGTGGGTGAGAGAGTAAATTTATATGCTTCGGAATAAGGATTGAGGTTAGTTAATGGAATCACGTATCGAATTGTTTTGGATGCTCAACTTCGTGATTGAATTATGAAAGTTTAAAATATTGGTATTGGTCATTAGGATGGAAAAAGTATCATCATATGATCATTAGTCTTCTAGGTGGGACTGAAATGAGCAAGAAACATTGTTAACTCAGGTCTGCATTATTGCTGATCTGTGGTCCTTTGTGTTTTGTGTATTTCGGTAGATTTTTTTCTTTTGATTCTAATTGGCTAGATTATTGGGTTTTATATATGAAATTTTAATTTGATTCTACTTTGGTTGATTGTTGGTATTTTATTGTGTTGCTTTTTGTAGAAAAGGATTGCACAAGCCCGGAATGCACTGCCTAATGGAGATGTGAAGGTCAAGGGTGAGCTATAGGTTCTGATATCCGAGAAAAGTCAGATTTTTTTACAGTTCTTACAATACGTGTAACTTCAAGGTGTGTCTATGAGTATTATATTCGCTAAAATGTTAGTATAGGTGGCTATTTATACAATGCGTGGAGGTTTTTGTAACCTAATAGTCTCATGACTCTCAACCTATATGTTATAACATGCGAATTTGCAATTACCTGTATGTTGTATATCTTTTGGTGTCAAATTGTCAATAATGCTATATAATCTTCAAATATGCTCTTCTGTGTATAATGGCTTATATATTTGTTTGGACTTGTCAATGTAATTATGAATGCCATATGTAAGCCTGAAACAAGATGAAGAATTATCAGTGCACTTGGTTATTCTCATGATTTATACACAAGATGAGACGGTCTTTCGAGAGCCTTTGATTTTTTATGTCCTGTTTGTTTGCTGATGTTGTTGCTATTGTTGTCGTTCTAAGTCTGTTTTTGGTTTTTTGTTTGGTAATAATCTAAATTTAATAGTTTGTGGTCTGGAAAATATTGAAGCTGAATAGAATCTTTGTTGGGTATGTTGTTATAGAATCATTGGTCTAGATTATAGGGTTTGTGATCTTGTGCTTTTGAGCATGGATTGAGAGTTACTAAACTTTGGATTTCTTAGTAGATATTTGATGGTCACAATGGCATATTAGCTGCTATATTTGCTAAGGAGCACCTGTTGAGCAATGCTCTGAGTGCCGTTTCTGAAGGTTCTAGTAGGGAAGAGTGTGTGGCTTCAAGCACTTCCTTGTGCCCTGGTTGCTGGGTTTGTCAAAAGACTCAAAACTGATATTAAGTTCCAGCGGAAAGGTTAGTTTTATAATGACTTTTATCTGTTTTGGCTGATAGATTGTTTAATTTTGGTGATTATTTTGTTGTGAAATGAGGTTTAATTGTTGCGATGAATGATAATATATTTTTTCAAGCTATGATTTCATATTTCCCCGTACAAATGTATTATCAATCATATTCCATAACTCATTTAATTTGTTTGATTTGTATTCGAATCTACTCTCAAGATTTTGAGCTAAGCATTGGATTTTTAACTCACAAATAGAATTGGAGATTGGTTATGGTTATTATAACAAAAATACTTAGTTTTGAAGTGTCATAAATCACATTGGCACATGTTATATCCTAAATTTCAAGCTTCCCTTCTGACAGTACTGATATACTTCATTGGAGAAGCTGAGGTGCAACATAATCATCATGCAGAGTGATTACTTGGAAATAGTAGGTAAGAAGTTGGTTGCTTAAGCAGGGTCAATGCTGAAATAGTGTACCTACTGCTATAATATGCTCAAATAGCTTGCATATGAGTAATAACTTGCCTTTCTTTGTCAAGATATTAGACATTGAAAGTTAGCTTGTAGTATCTTTTTCATTAATGATATAAATGTAGCTTTATTACTATTTTTCATATTTTAGAAATAAATTGGAAGTGAACAGGGAGGGATGCCTAGGAAAGTCATTTTCTTGCCGGCTGCTGTAACACCATAAGAAAAATAGTCTTACCTAATTGTTAACAAATTGTTTTGACTTTTCTCTTTAATAAGAACTCAGAAGGTACTCTCTTAAAATTTACATAATGTTCATGAATTTCTGTAATGCTCATCGTATTGGTACGATTGAAATAACTTTGTTTAGGATTTAAGGAAGTGTACAACGGTTCCAAACATGTCTATCTTATATAATTTGGGATGCTTGTTTTGGTATATTGCTATCTAAGTCCAGGTTTGTTCATTTTCCCTTTTTTTGTAGGCTTGAACAAATATGCAGGAAGTTAGACAATGAAAGAAGTACTTCAACTTTTACAATGTCTGCTGCTGCTCTTAGTTGCTGCTGCCAGCTTTTGGTTTCTGCTGTTTTGCTACTAATAATGCTGCTCTTTGTTGCTACTGATACTGCTGCATTTGGATGCTACTATGATTTGTTATTTTCTATGTTCGTTATTTACTGAAATTTAATTAACATATTTAGCATTACAATATTGTTGGTTTATAAGCAGCTTTTCTGATGTAAATTGAATTCGGTGTATATGCTATGATTGTAAATATATTTGGATTTGTTATAAATTATTATAATAATTTGGGTGGCAAATGGAAAGAAGAATAGGGGTATTTGTAACTAGCACCTGAAATGCTAGTTACAAATGCCCCTAATTTTTTGTCTTATTCGGAGATTATTCGTAACGGACATTATCATTGCCCGTTACGAATAACTACTTATTCGTAATGGGCACTTACAATGTCCGTTACAAATACGTACTTATTCGTAACGGGCGTTTCAAGTGCCCGTAACGAATAATGGGTTATTTGTAACGGGCGTTACAGGTGCCCGTTACGAATAATGGGTTATTCGTAACGGGCGTTTCAGGTGCTCGTTACGAATAAGTAGTTATTCGTAACGGACGGTTCCTGTTACGAATAATAATGGCCATCCGTAACGGCCGCATACGTAACGGACGCTGCCCATTACGGATGGGCCCTTTTTTCCCGTTACGAATGGCCTTTTTTCCACTAGTGACATAATATTGAGAAGGATGAACAGAAGAAGGGTGAAAAAGATAAGAAAGAGATGAAGAAAGGAGTTGCTGGTGAGAAGAAAACCAAAGGAGTTGTTGTTGAGAAGAAAACCATTGGTTATACAAGAAAAAAAAAGAGTTGGTAATGAAGTTTCTAATGGGGAAGGGAAGAAAAAAGGAGAGAAAGATGCTTTTCATGTGGATGGGACAAATGAAAGAGAGAAAGTATTTGAAAAGAAAAAAAGAGAAGGAAAAATTGCTGAAGTTTCAGAAGAAAAAAAAGAAACAGGAGTGTGTGAAGTGACAGCTTTGCTTGAAGTGGCAATGAATGTAGTTTCTTCTAGAAGGTTTGTTACTTTTGATCTTCCCGAAGAAATTCAATCTAATGAGGAGATCAATCAAGTTGCCAAGAATGTAAGTATAATTTTGTATTGGTCTTTTTTTTTTATTATTTATGTTTCTTTTTTATTTTTGTTTTGATTTATTTTATCTGTTATTATAGGTTAATTCTTTGTGTTGATTGGGATTACTTGCTTCTTTATAAGGGATTACTTGAATTTATATTAATTGGGGTTACTTATTTTTTTCACTGGGGTTACTTGTTTTTTAGTTGGGGTTACTTGTTCTTAATTAGGGGTGACTTTAATTTATTTTTGTTGGGGTTACTTTTTTTGTGTTCATTTAGATTACTTGTTTTTGTATTAGGGGTTAATGTATTCTTTATATGTACTTTGTTGTGGTTACTTATTTTTTTTTAGGGTTACTAGAATTAGTTAAGGGAATTATTAAATGGACTTTTAGATGGAGTTTTACATGGGTTATTGAAAAGGTTATTTGGTGTTTCTAGGGATTACTTTAATTTGTTTATATATGTTAGGGGGTGATATTGTGGATTTATCTGTTATTATAGGTTACTTTTTTGTGTTGATTGGGGTTACTTGCTTCTTTATTAAGGGTTATTTGAATTTATTTTTGTTGGGGTTACTTATTTTTTTCAGGGGTTACTCTTGTTTGGTTTCACAGGGGTTTCTTGTTTATTAGTTGGGGTTACTTTTTTCTTTTTAGGGGTTACTTGTATTTATTTTTGTTGGGGTTACTTATGTTTTTCCATGGGTAGTGTTTTTTTGGCATTATTCTTGTTTGTATTCATTAGGGTTACTTGTTTTTTAGTTAGGGTTACTTTTTTTTATTAGGGGTTACTTGTTCTTAATTTGGGGTGACTTTAATTATTTTTGTTGGGGTTTCATTTTTTTCTGGGGGTTACTTTTTTTCTGTTCATTGGGGTTACTTTTGTTGTGTTTACTGGGGTTACTTGCTTAGGGGTTAATGTACTCTTTATGTGTATTTTGTTTGGGTTACTTATTTGTTTGTTGATTGTTACTAGAAGAATTAGTTAAGGGGATTATTAGATGGATTTTTAGAGGGGTTACTAAAAATGTTACTTGGTGTTTCAAGGTTTATTTTAATATGTTTATATATGTTAGGGGTTTTTTTTAGAGTTTCTTAATTCTTTATTTTTTGTTAATTTATCTCTTGTTTTTATATAGGATGTTGAGGAAAACTATATGCTGTTGAAGAGGGATATTAATTACTTTGTTATCAATTTGACCAACGTATTGATTCGATTAAGGTTCAATCAGCAGCTGTAGAAGAAGATTCTAAGTTGCCTAAAAAGGAGAGATCACCTGAGCTTTCTCAGTTGGATCCAATATTTAATGACCAGTCATTTTGGGCACAGATTGACATGATTGTTAATCAAACTGCTCTAATGAAGAAATTTGAAGAGGACTTGCCTTCATTTCAACTTTTTTCAAATAAAAGTCCTGATTTGTCAATTGAAACTTCGCCAAATGTAAATAAAGATATTTTTGCTCAAGTGTCTGAGAAAATACCACCATAAATTGATTCTCCTGTTTTGGAAGATGTGGCATGTGGATTTGTTAATGATGCACTGAGGTTGACAAATGTAGAGCAAACTTCTGAAGTAGATGGATCTTCTAGAGCAGTTGTAGAAGAAGATCAACCTTTTGAAGCTGAAATTCAGAAAGGTCATATATCTGAAGCTAGAGTTGAGGGAGATCATTCTTCTGAAATTGGGGTTGAAGGAGATCATTCTTGTGAATCTTCTGTGCCTGATATTCAGTCTACTGAAGTTGGAATTGAAGATATACAGCTTGACAATGCTCGAGATCTTGAAATGGAAGAGGCTTCTGTTGTTGAAAAGACTAACACAGTTGAAATAGGTTTACCTTCATTTGACCTTTTTTCGTATACAAATCCTAATCTTTCAACTCCAATTTTAACTCCTTAAATCTTCCTCTAGTTTCAGATCCAATTACACCACAAATTGATTCTCAAAATGTGGAAGATTTTTCATGTGCTGTTATTAATGATGTGGTGAAGGGTATAAATGATGAGCATTGCTCAAAAGATATGGTATTTGAAGAAACTGAATTTCAGAATGTTCATAGCAATGATTCTAAAGTTGGAATTCAGAACATTCAGATTGTGAAAGCTGATGATTTTAATATGGAAGAAGTCACAACCAACATAGAAGAAAAGAAACAGTTGTCTGAAGCATGCATTGGTACTGAAACTTTTAACAATTCAGAAATTCAGCTTTCTCAAATTGAGACTGAAAATTATCAAGTCAAAGTTGTTCCTGAAATTGTGAATATTGTAGATTCACAAAATGAAAATAAAGGTTCTCAAATGGTACCGATTCCTGAGATGGAAGTACATGTACTGTAGTTGAGAATATTATAGATTCTCAGATGGGAGATGCTGTGATGGATACGACAGGTGATTCTTTGGGTTCAAAGCAGAATGAAAAAATAGAGAATGCAGGTGGTAGTCAAGTACAGGAAATTTTAAATATAGATGATTCTGAAATGGTTCCTGCATTGGCTGCTGTTCCTGTTGCTGCATCTGTCCCTGTCTCTGATACAGCTACTAAGTCAAAGCAGAAAGGCTCAAAAACCCAAGAGTCTAAAAAAAAGAAATCAAATGCTTCAGGTAGTGCTAAGGCCTAAGAATAACAGGGAAAAAATATATGCAATGAAGGAGTTGAGGCTTAAAGTTGCTAACTATTGCTTTGTGGAAAATTATTCGGGAGTGAAATCAACGTAAGTATTGCATTTGTTATGTGTTATTTAATTTTTTAAGTTTTGAATGATTATATTTGACTCATATACAATCACCACAACTTACATATGTTTTAACAACAAAAGTCATCACTTACAACATGTAACAGATGAGATATTAGAGATATTGGAAGTTATATCACATCAATATAACTATGGGTTACTTGTTTTTTGTTTTAATGTTGACTTTGATTTACTTATTATATGTAGTTGTCGTTATATATGAATTATTTGTCTTTTTGTGTTATAAATCACATATTTGTCAGGGGTTACTAATTTTATATACTAGGGTTACTAATTTTATATATTTGTCAGGAGTTACTAATTTTACATGAGGGGTTACTGAGGGTGTAATATAAGGGGTTACTAGAGGGGTTATTGAGGTGCTTATATAAGGGGTTACCAGAGGGGTTAAGGGCAGGTGGCATTCATATTTCATTAATTTTGGGTTACTAGATAGGTTACTAAGGGCAGATGGTTTACTAGAGATGTTAGTAATTGTTACATCAGGGGTTACTTAATGGGTTACCTTTATGTTGTTATTAGAGGGGTTACTTAGGGTTTATATAAAGGGTTACTAGAGGGGCTAGTAGATGTATTATTTAAGGGTTACTAATTATAATTTTGATATAAGGTCTACTTTAGGGGGTTACTAATTTTATATACCGGGGTTACTAATTTCATATATCGGGGTTACTTATTTTAATATATTGGGGTTACTAATTTTAATATATTAGGGTTACTTATCTCAATATATTGGGGTTACTTGTGTTAATATATTGGGGTTACTAATTTAATATGTTTATTTGTCATTTTCATTGGGATTTTCTTATTAACAATACTGGGGTTACTTAGGTTATTTTGTTTAAAGTTATATGGTTATTTTTACTGGGGTTACTTTATTATTTTTATTAGGATTATTTTCTTTATTTTTATTGGGGTTATTTACTGATTTTTACTTACTTGGGTTACTTAGTTTTTTTTTTCTTACAGGGGTTATTTTATGAAAGTGATTTTGTGTTGGGGTTACTAATTATTTTTGTCTTTGTTTTTCATAACAGGGAGGTTATAGTCAGTTATTCTGATATATATCAATTGCCTTGTGAAGAATTTCAAACATTGATCCCAGGACAGTTAATATCATGTCGTGTTATGGACTGTTTCTATATTCATTTGAATTGGGAGGAGGTTTTGGCAGGATTTACATATAATAGAGTTTTTTTTGGAGGTGAACATATGGTAATTATGAAGGATTCTTTATTCTAATAATTTAACAGAAATTATAGTATATCATCCATTTATTTTTGGTTTTTTGTTGTATGTAGTGGCCTGTTTTGCAGTGTGTTATGGCTGGAGATGGTTGTATTTATGAGAGAGATGTATATGGTTCATGGGATGAATGGTTTGAATGTTAGATGTACTGATTTTTTGACTGCTATGCTGGTATAATACTAATCCTTATCAAAATTTTCTGGTATTTAAAGTGAATGAATTTAGTATGACAAGTTGGTATAACATCATATCTTTTATTCCTGTTTTGCAAGTCTTTATGCCAATTTGTTATGACAACCATTTTGCTGTTGCTGTGGTGAACTTTATGGATCAAACGATTGATTATCTGGACAACAGAAAGTATTCAATCTATGATGAGATTTTAAAGAAAAATACAACAAATTTCGATGGATTGCATACTATGTATTATAGTATAATATATCGTTTGATAAGGTTTTTTATAGTATTTGTTTAGATTATATATTTTTTTTAGAGTTTAGTTTATTTGTTTGTGGTTTAGGAGATACTTATGTTGTTATTAGGAGTGTTTCTTAGCCTGTTACTTTGTCCCAATATACTTTCACCTGACAGTTATTAGGTGGTTACTTTGGTGGTTACTTAGGGGGTTATTAAGGGGTTACTTTGTCATAAATACTCTTTCATCTAACAATTATTATGGGGTTACTTTGGGGGTCACATAGGAGGTTATTAAAAGGGTTCATTTACTTTTTTTTTGTTTGGCTTACTTTTTTTTTTTACCTTGCGGTTACTATATTATTTTTTTTTGTTGGAATTACTTAGGGGGTTACTTCACCTTATTTGTGTTTGGGTTACTTCTTTTTTTTTTTTTTTTACATTGTGGTTATTTACATTGTGATTACTTTATTTATTTTAATTTTTATTTGGGTTACTTCTTTTTTTTTTTTTACATTGTGGTTACTTTATTTTCTTTTTTGTCTTGGGGATACTTTACTTCATTTGTGTTTGGGTTACTTCTTTTTTTTTAAAAAAAGTTTGGTTACTTTACTTGGTTTTTTTTTTCTTGGGGTTACTTAGGGGATTACTTTGTGACTTAGGAGTTACTTAAGTGAGTGGGATTACTTAAGGGGATATTTTGTCAAATTTATTGTTACATTTGACAGTGTTAGGGGATTACTTTGTCACTTATACTCTTACACAAGATAGTATTAGGGGGGTTACTTAGGGGGTTACTTTGTCCTAATACTGTCATAGATGATAATTTATTTTGACAAACATTTAATATTTGATACAAATATTATTATTTCAGATACCAAACATATTTATTACAAACTTAATGTTAATACAAAAACTTATACATTAATACCGTTTTCTGCTTCAGTAGGAAGCCTTTCAATTCCATCACCATTAAAAACTCTAATGTAAAAATTTACATCTTTGTCAAAATAAATATCCAGTCTTTCTCCATGAACAATGTTGTTGGAGATTACAAAGTTTGCCCATTGTTCATCAACAAAACAACCACCACAACTTCTGGTATCTTCTGGTACGCTTACCACTCTTACTTCCCAAAATATGTATTATTCCCACGGTGAATTTTAGCTGGATACTTGAATTTTAAAAGAAAGTGTTTCCATTCTGCAGGAAGTGGCTGAAATAAAAAAGAAAGAAAGAAAAGATTAACTTTTTACTAAAATAGAAAAGAAATGTATAAATATAAAACTTAATGCAAAATGTATTTACCAGACTATTCCGATAATATGTTCTGAAATTAACAGAACATTTTTCCATATTTGCATAGAAATCAATCATTGTCTTCAATATTGAATAGAAGAAGAAAAATATAAGGTAATGATACGAAACTCAACCTTATATAGAATAATATAGGTTGTTAACTTTATATAGAAAAAATAGAGGTTGTTAATTTAAGTCTTTTAATAGAAAAAACTTGATTTAATCCAGCCTTTAAATAGAAATCAGTTGTCTATGAATAGTCTCAAAATAGAAGTCTGATTTGTATGACTTTTTGATAATGCATTAATTACTTTTTCAGATTTGTATGACTTTTTGATGATAAAATGAAATACTTTTCAGTTTTGAATGACTTTTTCATGACTTCAGTCAAATTTGTATGACTTTCTCATAATGCAATAAATTAATTTTTTCATAATTGTTTAACTTTTCAGCAATAATAAATTTTTTTTTCTGACAAATTTGATCTTATCCTGACAAACAACATGTTATTTCTCACATGTGTAAGGGTTATTTTAGGGGGTTACTTTTTAGAATTTAGTTGGTCATAATTTTTATATTCTTATGTGTAAAGTTTATTTAAGGGGTTATTATGGGGTGTTAAATAGGGGTTGCTAAACGATTTTGACTGGGATTACTAAGGGCAAATGGGTTACTAAAAAGGTTATTAGAGATGTTAGTAACAGGGTTACATGAGGGGTTACTGAGGGTGTAATATAAGGGGTTATTAGAGGAGTTATTTAGGTGCTTTTATAAGGGGTTACCAGAGGGGTTAAGGGAAGGTGGCATTCATATTCCATTAATTTGGGGCTACTAGATGGGTTACTAAGGGCAGATGGTTTACTAGAGAGGTTACTAGAGATGTTAGTAATTGTTACATCAGGGGTTACTTAATAGATTACCTTTATATTGTTATTAGAGGGGTTACTTAATGGGTTACCTTTATATTTAATTCTCATTTTATAAGGGTTACCTTTATGTTGTTATCAGAGGGAAGATGTATTATTTAAGGGTTACTAATTATAATTTTGATATAAGGGCTACTTTAGGGGGTTACTTTTAGGAGGTTACATAAATATATTTTTATTCTCATATGTGTTTAATTTAAGGGGTTTCTTTTCATGATCTTTTCTTTCTTTTGTTTTTTTTCCCTGTTGATTTCTTTTTTTAACTATGTATTTTTTTTTATTTAGAGATATCTTATGTCAAGATACATGACAATCAAAGGTCGTGAAAATGGAGTGGATGTAATGGATTTTCCAATTCGAATGATTACAGTTGATGGACAGGAAGCTGGTGCCAATGTTGATTGTGGAGTGTTCTATCTTTATCACTGTGCTTCATATTTTGGCAAATCATTTAAAAGTTATCGTTTAAATCAGGTGAAATGTTTTTATTTTCTAAGATTTTTAAATGTTTAGTCTTCTACACTGTTTTTCTGTTTTTTTTTTTTATTTTATTGATTTAAATTTTCTTTTTATACGTTTTTCTAGATAATTGAACGCCGTCGTTATCGAGCTGAAATTTATGCTTCACTGGTTTTGTCTGATTTGAATAAGATAAGAGAAAATGTATTGTCACGTGTTGATGATTTTGTCAAAAACAATGAAGCAATTATGATTGGAGTTTTAAGGAATGAAAAGCTTGTTAGAGAGGCTGAAATTAAAGCTTTGAAGGCAAAGCAACAAGCTGATTTTGAAAGGAGAAGAAAAGCTAAATCTGATAAAGAATCAGCAGCTTTGGTGGCTGCTACAATAGCAGCAGAAGAAGCTACTGCTGAAAGAAAAACAACAAGAAACGAATCAGCACAAATTGGAGCTGTTGAAAAAGAAGAAGCTGCATTAGTGGCTGTTACAATAGCAGCAGAACATGCAACTTTAAATAGAAAATCAATACGTAATGCATTAGCAGCACCACCAGTACCAGAAATATCATCTAGATCTAGAGCTCCAGTTGTCAAGAGTAATGGACCAGCAGCATCATCGGTAGTACCAGCACCAGCATCTAAATCTAAAGCACCAGCATATAGAAAGAAGAATTGAAATGAGAACTCAAAGGACAGTAAGGAATATATTTTTCTCTAGGTTTTTAAGTATCATTGGATTCATTTGAATTTAATTCATATAGTTTGTTAATGTTTGATTTTTTTATCTCTATGTTGGATGATTAGTCATACTTGATCTTGATGCATTGTTAATATTTCAAAGTATGTAAACTAGTTTAAATTTTTGTTCTGTTTTTTTTGTCTATGGAATATTACGCGCTAGGGTTACTTGGGATTACTTTAGATATTAGACGACTTATTAGAGGGATTATTAAAAGGGTTAGGGGTTACTTCACTTTATTTTTGTTGGGGTTACTTGGTGTGTATTTTTTTTTTTTTTTTTTTTACCTTATGTATGTTAGGGGTTACTTTTTTTATTTCCTTATTAGGGGTTACCTTTATTTACATTGTTGGGGTTACTTTCATTTACATTGTTGGGATTACTTCCAGTTGTTTATATAGGGGTTACTTGGGGCTTATAAGGGGTTACTTCCATTTACATTGTTGGGGTTACTTCCATTTGTTTATATAGGGGTTACTTGGGGTTATATGTTTCATTATAAGGGGTTACTTGGGGTTATATGTTTCCTTATTAGGGGTTACCTTTATTTACATTGTCAAGGTTACTTCCATTTACATTGTTGGAGTTACTTGCATTTGTTTATATTATTAGTGGTTACTTGGTGTCATGTTTCCTTATTGGGGGTTACTTTTTTTTTTTTAATTTTGTTTGTATATATATATATATGTTAGGCGTTACTTTGGGTTAAATGCTTCTTAATTAAAGGTATATGTCAGGGGTTACTTTTATTTTTTTCTTTATGGTTACTTGTTATTTATTTACAATATCATGTACATGTTACAAAAATTAAAAAAAAATATCTACAACTTAAATTATAAATGTCAAGGAAAATAATAACTTAATAAATATTATTTCTACATTATTCTAAAATTTTAACTGTTGTAAAGACAAAACAGTAATATGAAATTAAAAGAGCTTTGGATTTACTACAGGTGTGATTGTTCCACATTCTCTTGTGTCACTGTTTTCTTGCATTGCTTTTGTTTTCTTTGTTTTTGGTTGTTTTTCTTTTTCAAAGTGTCCCTTGATTCTTTTACTTCTCCCTTTAGTGTTTGCCCTTGCCGGATCACTCACTGTTGGTATTTCTTCTTCGTTTTGTTGTTCTATTGTGGCTTCATCAGATTGTTCTCCTTCTTCTTGTGCTGCTTGCATTTCTACCTGTCTTTTTATTTGTTCTACTTCCTCTTCAATTTTCTTTAGTTGTCTCTCTAAGAATTTGCGTGTCTCTTTGTGGTGTTGATACTTCAGAATTAGATTGTAGCTCTTTCTTGCCATTGTGTGACGCCAAGGCATAAATTTCTCTCTTGCTGCTGAATTTTCTACTGCATTTTCATCCTTTTTTTCCATATATGAGATTTATATATCTTTGTCCACCTTGCTGAGACATAATGTTCAGGAATTCTTGTAATTGAATGCTGGTGTAAGATGCGTAAACAATGATAACAAAGCCATCCTACTTCTTCAAAATTTTTGCATGAGCGTGCAACTTTATTTTGTGTGCTAACAAATGTGACCTTTTGCCTAGAAGACATGTCATCTTCAATTTGCACCTCATAAAAGTAATGATCTCCCAATTGACCATGTAGATGTGCTATGCAACCCATTGAATAACTGAACTCTGATTCAAAATCTCTGAAAATTGTCTGTGTGTATATCTCTGATGCATACTTCAACAGTCCATACATGGGGAAATGTGATGTTGGTTTAGAGTTTGAACACTTAAAATCTGCATCAGATTCATTTTTTTTCCATCTGTTCACAGTTTGCTTGAATATTCTGAAAAAATCTGGCAAACTTGTGTTCTTGTTTGCTTTAAATCCAACAGCATTATTAGTACTCTCACTTCTTTGAGAAGATAAAATACCACCAGAAAAAAAGTCTTTACTCAAAGCTGTGCACCACTTCTCCCTAAGGTTATATAACCTTTTGAACCAGGTATTTTTTTTCAAGTTTATAGGTTGTTATCATGTTATCCCAGCAAATTTGAAATTCTTCTGTTGTTACACAACCACTTAGGCATTTATTGAATGCATCTTTGAAAGATGTGTTTCGTTTTAATGCTCCAAATCTTTAAACAACATTTTTTATTAGATGCCAGATACATAACCTATGCCTTGAGTGAGGAAATACCTGTAAGTTTACAAGGGAAGAAAAAGGTTATTTAATCAATTTTAATATGGTTAGTTGCTCATTAATATTGGGGTTACATAGGGGTTACTTGCTCATTAATATTGGGATTACATAGGGGTTACTAAAGGATTCTGACTGGGGGTTCTTATTTTTGATATATTGAGTTTGGCGATATTTATTTATTTTTAATAAATTGAGGTTACTAGTTATTTTTACTGGAGTTTATGGGATTACTTAATGGGGTTACTTAATGGGCTTTCTTAATGGGGTTACTTTATTAATTTTGACATGGGTTACTTAATTAATAATTATAGGAGTTACTTAATCAATTTTTACAGCAATTTTACTTAATCAATAATTACAAGGGTTACTTTATCCATTCTAATACTGGTTTTTTGACAAGGGTTACTTAATCAATAATTACAGGAGTTATTAAATCAATTATAAAAGTGTGTTACTTAATCAATTTTACTTAATCAGGAGGTACTTAATCAATAAATACAGTGGTTACTTAATCAATTCTAATAAGGGTTTTATGACAAGGGTTCCTAAATCAAGGGTTTTTTGGCAATTAGTTTGGTGGTTATTTAGTTTGTTTTTAGAAGATTTACTTATTAGTTCATGTGTTACTTAGGGGGTTACTTAGGGGTTTACTAGAGGGGTTAGCAAAGGGGTTATTGGAGGGAGTACCAGAGGGGTAATTTTGGGTTTGCTTAATGGGTTACTTACCAGAGGGGTTACTGAAGGGACTACCAGAGTGGTTTCTTAGTATTTGCTGAGGGGGTTACTTAGGGGGTTATTAGAGGGGTTACTTAGAGGGTTACCAGAAGGGTTACTTAGAGGGATTACCAGAGGGGTTACTTAGAGGTGTTACTTAGGGGGTTACTAGAGGGGTTACTTAGAGGGTTACTTAAGGGGTTAGCAGAGGGGTTACTTAGAGGGGTTACTTAGATGGTTACTTAGGAGGTTACCAGAGGGGTTACTTAGGGGGTTACTTAGGGGGTTACCAGATTGATTACTTAAGGGTGATCAGAGGGGTTACCAGTTAGTTCAGTTATTTTAGTTTAGAAATAGAGGGGTTACCATAGGGGTTACCAAAGGGGTTACTTTTATATGTAGGGTTTGCTTAAGGGTTCCTAAATCAATAAGTACAAGAGTTTCTAAATCAATTTAAACAGGGGGTTACTTAATCAATGATAGGGGATAGAAGATTAATCAATGATAGGGGATAGAAGATTACTAGATAGATAAAAAAATATTATGTTTACCTTTTCAATTGCATTAGACATTGCCATGTCTTGATCTGTGAATATTGTAGTTGTTTGACTGCCTCCCATAGACTTTTTAAAAGTTTTTAAAAGGCACTCAAATGTATCTGTCTTCTCATCAGCTATAAAAGCACAGCCGAACATCACATTCTGCCAATGATTATTCACTCCCACTATAGGTGCACAAATGAGGTTGTATTTGTTAGTTCTGTAAGTTGTGTCAAAAACAGTTACATCACCATAGACATTAAATTCCTCTCTCATTTCAGAGTCTCTCCAATATATGGCTGTTAGCCTGTTACTGTTTTTATCACCTCCTAGTTTAAATCTGAAGAAAAAATTTTCTTCTGCCTGTCTATAACAGTTTGTGCATCTCCACCTTCAATTTCTTTCATTTTTCTTCTTGATATGTAGTTTAAATGATCTCTCAAAGGTATGACCTAGCAATTCTACACCCCGAGCTTCATTTGTCATCAAGTTGTAAGCTTTAGTTGGCTTTAACCCACTCTCTGCCATAAGGTCAATTACTTTTGCTTTTTCTTTAGTGATCTTTCTTTCTGATCTGTGTAGATGTTGCCATGCTTTTCTTGTTAACTCATGGTTGTGATTCATGATATGTTCCTCAATTTTAAACAGGCCTTCCTTGTTTTTTTTTTGCTCTTATTAATGCTTTGCAACCTGTTCTGGTTGTAGGAACTTGTTTTACTTTTTTTTTTTCTATTTTCATTAGCTGTAGGAGGAGTTTTTTGTACTTTAGCTTTGCATCTAAACCCTTCTTTAGAACAAAAAAAAATCTTTTCCTTTTATTTGTTTGTTATCTCCTTGAGTCAATCTTGTGGTTGATAGTCTTACTCCAAATCCCATAGCAAATGCATGCTTTTTATATATGTCACCAATTTCACCCAAAGTTTTTGCTGTAAATCCTATTAGGCTTCCTGTATAATCAAAATCTTCTTCTTTGTGATCATGACTATGTTGTGTGAGATTGTTATCATTTGTGTTTTCTTCTGTTAATGTGCTCTAATTTTGTTCTGCTGTGTTTGCACTTGGTTCTGTTGTTAATGTATAATAAAAATTAGCATACATACAGTTATCATGTAGAATATTTAATTCGATTACAGTAAATAAAAACAATTAGTGGTTACTACAGTAGTTATTTAAAGGTAATCACTTAAGAAAGGTCAATTTAAGTGATTACTTGATCAGATGTGTTTGAATTACTTAAAGCTTACTTAAGGGAATGCTTAAGGGGTTATATAATGGGTTACTTAAGGGAATGCTTAAGGGGTTATACTATGGGTTACTTAAGGGGATGCTTAAGGGGTTACATAAAGGCAATTAGTTTGGTGGTTATTTAGTTTGTTTTTAGAAGAGTTACTTATTAATTCAGGTGTTACTTAGGTGTTACTTAGGGGTTACTTAGGGGGTTACTAAGGGGTTTACTAGAGGGATTAGTAGAGGAAGTACCAGAGGGGTAATTTTGGGTTTACTTAATGGGTTACTTACCAGAAGGGTTACTGAAGGGACTACCAGAGTGGTTTTTTAGTATTTGCTAAAAGGGATACTTAGGGGTTACTTAGGGAGTTATCAAAGGGGTTACTTAGGGGGTTACCAGAGGGCAGGGCCATCTTAAACAATTTAGGGGCCCTGTGCTATTAATAATTATAGGCCCTCTAAACGTAAAAACCACGCAAATTTTGTTATCAAATTATGCTATTTGATCTTTTTAACATGCTAAAATATGGAAACTTGTACTCGTTTTATTAACTTAAGTTATAGACTTATAGTATACCATTTTTTTTTTTCACGCTAACTTTATTATTAACATGAACTCCAATCCATAAAACTATACTCACATCAC